TAAATTTTTTAATTTAGTTGAATGAATCCTTCAATTCCAGTAGTTCTGCTACATCCTTTTTTAGGGTATCTGTCTCTTTGTACAATTCCTTCTTCACACCTGGATTGTTTTTCTCATCTTATTGTATTGTCTGAGTCTTCTTGTATATCCTTGAATTTCCTTAAGATTGTTGCTCTGAATTCCTTTTCAGACATTTCAAAAGTTCCTGCTGTTTGGGTCCTGGTACTAAAGAATTATTGTTTTACTCTAGGTGTGTCAAATTTTCTTGGTTTTTTTGCTTTTGCATTTCCAGTATCCCTACACTGATGTCTGGGCATCTGGTAGTTCAGTTGCTTCTTCTGTTACTCTGGAGTAGCTTTTGAGGAGAGAGACACCCTCCTGTAGATGTGTTTTATATTGACCATTGGGTAGGGTGTTTTAGTTTTGGCTCTGGGTAGATGCAGTAGTGTAGTCTCTGTGTCATTACTTTGACCATATTTAATATTGGAGTTGTCTGTGAGTGCTTCCGTGTCCCAGGTGCTGGAGCACTCAGTGGCTCCTTGCTGAAGTGAGTGACACTATTTTGGGTTTTCAAGTCTGTGCCCAAGATCTCAAGTTCTTGGGAGAAGCACCTGGGTGCCTTGTCTCTCCTTGGCTGAGGTGGGTGAACCTGGGTGGACTTGCTGGCACCCCAGCTAGTGTCCTGTGACCCTGATAGGTAGACTGGGATTACTGAAGCTCCTCAACTTGAATGGACAACCCTGGGCAGGTTTCTCTTTCCTCTTTCCTGAAGGAAGAGGCTTCTCCTGGGCCCTTGTTTCTCTCCCTCTCCTCTTTCTTCCTACCTAGTAAAATGCAGAACGACCTGAATTTGGGTGAAGTAAAAGTGGTGGCCCCCAGGTAGTGCATCAGCAGGAAGTGGGACAGACTGCTGTGTGAGAAGAGGAGTGGCAGCAGTGGCAGTGCTCTGGAGCTGGGCAGTGGTGACAGCTGCCAGGCTGTGCTTTCCCCTGCAGTTCAGGAGCTGGACTGCCAAAGGCAGAGCTGCTGAGCCACTTCTCAGAAAGTGGGCAAGGCCACTGTGGGGGGGCGCTGCAGTGAGAGAGCACATCTAGCCACTTCTTGTGCAGTGGATGGGACTGCTAGCTAGGCCTGCAGTGAAGTGACCTGTCCAGCTGCTTCTGGGCAGTAGGCAGGGCCACTACGCAGTCCTGCAGTGATGAGGCCAGTGCAGCCACTTCTGGGACTGTTGACAAGGCCACTAAGCAGGACTGTAGCAGAAGCACTTTATTTCCACTGGCCTGAGGTCGTATTCATTAAGATAGGGGCCTGTGTGCTGTTTTTCTGGGTTGGGGGCTCAGGCACACACAACTCAGTCAGCTGGTGAGGCTGGGTATTGGGAGGAATGGGGGGTGGTCCACTTGAGGAGGGTCTACCAATCTGATCCCTGGCTGGGGTTGTTGGCTGTGTCAGTTCAGCAGGACTAGGGTTGCTTTCCAGACTGTAGAACTAGAGTCATAGCCACTGTGAGCCCAGGCTTCAAGCTCCTGGGATCAGGGCATCATAGCCTCTCCTATAAGTGCACTGAGTGGTAGGCAGAGCCTTAAGGCTGGTATGGCTCCAGTTTCAAGATGGCACCATCCTGCATCAGCTTGGGTCCTGAGGGTGGGGTGTGGAGAGTGCACAGTGTATGCTAGTGTTTTAGAGCAAGGTCTTGTGTGTTCTCTAGGCTGTTCCCCACACTTGGCTCTGGGCTTGTTCTGCCAAAGATCTGCAGGCCTCTGTGGTGAGGATGGGGGTCGGTATGGGTCCTCTGCCTGCCTTTTCACCACAAGAGAAAATTCTTTCCGTGATGTTCCTGGTGTCAGAGATGTGACCGCTGAGGCCATGTGCCTCTCTGTCTTCTCTATGTTACCATTCTGGGCTTTTGTGCCCCACAGTGATCTCACCAGTCTCCTGCTGTACTCCTACACTCTCCCACCAATGCTCCTGTCAGTATTTAGCCATCTGTTAGTTGTTCTCGTCCTTCTCTGTGGGAGGAATGCACCCTGGGCACCACTGGTCCACCATCTTGCCCTGCCCTCCTGTAGTAAATCTCATGGGTTTTTTTCTATACGCAAAAAGGATATCAATATCTAGTGATTTGGTTTATTCACTTCACTTAATTTATCTTTGATTCTTTTCCATTCTTTTTAACGGATGTAGAATATTCCACAGTATGGATGTAACATTCTGCTCTGCCCATGATGAATATTCAGGTTATTTCCTTCTTTTGTTATTACAGACAGCACTGCAGTGAATCACTTAGGCCATACATCTTTGTGCATGGGAACTGGTATCTTTATTGACTAGATCCCAAGGCATAAAATAATGGGATGAGAGATAATGCACATATGACATTTTCGATGGCTACTGCCAAACACTTCGTCCAAAAGGTTGTTCCAAATTCTCACCTGCAGTATATAGAAGTGTCAGATTTCTCAAACCCTTACCAATATTAGATATGAGAATTAAAACACGATTTTCCTGTCTGATAGTGGAAAAATCATATCCCTTTATTGTTTAATTTTGTATTTCTTTAAATCTCAATAAACTTGAGCATCTTTTCATACATTAATTGGCCACTGGTATTTATTTTTCTGTAGTTAGCCTGTTCATATCCTTTAATGGTTTTTCAGTTGCAGGGGCTTTTGTGCCCCACAGTGATCTCACCAGTCCCCTGCTGTAGTTCTGCACTCCCACCAATGCTCCTGTCAGTATTTAGCCATCTGTTAGTTGTTCTGGATCTTCTCTGTGGGAGGGCACACACAACTCAGTCAGCTGGTGAGGCTGGGTACTGGGAGGAATGGGGGTTACTTTGGATACTATGTACTTTGGATATTAATCATTTGTTATGTATGTTGCAGATATTTTTCTCTCAGTGTATTGCTTGTTTTTTTATCTTTGTTTATGGCATCTGTTTACTGAAGGGAAGTTTTAAATACGTATGTAGAAGAATTTAGAGAAGAAATTAGGGAATTTAAATTGATTTAGTCTGGTGGCTGGTCTCTGTTTTAGCTATTGTTTATATGCATTTATATATATTACAGTGATTACTAAACCTTTTAGAAGTTAAGTAGAGCCATGGACACTCTTATTTCCATTTATTTCCCTCAATGGGTAGATGCTGAAAGTACAACTATTATTGTATAGAGAGTTCTAGAAAATCTGCGATGCTACAAAGAGTTTCCTCAAGTATGGAAAGATTGGGGACCACTGAGACAGAGGCTGTCTATGGAGCAGCAGCTGTCTATGGCTGGGGCATCCCCGAGTTCCCTTTCTTACAGATCAGCATCCAGGAGAAAGAAGCCCTCTTCTAGTGTCTGTATATCACCTCCCTCAAGGAAAAGGAGTCCTGTTGCCCCATCACTGTCCTTATTGACTTTGGTCACATGTCCACCCTGCCAAGGACAGAGACACTGTGATTGACAGTTCAACCAGACCACACTTAACAGAAAGAGGGGTACTAGATGGACAAACACAACAGATTGCAGGACCCACACATGACACCCAGAAGGTGGAGGTGGGGTCAGAGTCAAGGGGGTGCTGGAGTCAGATGAGTGAGCATGAGCCGGGCTGCCATCCACCACTGTGCCTTGGTCCTCGGCTCTCTTCCGTAAAGTGATCTCATGAGGATTGATGAGCAATGGCTGTGATCGGGCTCTGGGGGCCACAAAGCACAAAGCAGATGATGTTAAATGAGGCGTGTCCGACACTCATGTCTGGCACTTAGCAGGTTCTCAGTAGATGATGATCTTCCTCCCTGTTATTGTTACTGGAATTACAAGGGCATTAGGACGAGGTAATCAGATTGTAAGGAGTTAGAGTAAAAGTTCTTCCCTTCACCACCCTGAGTGAGGCCCCTTTCTCTGGGATGCCCTGCAGGTGTTGCATAGATAATTACTGGCCAGGAGAGGGTGTAGAGAGTTCTAGAAAGTCTGCGATGCTACAAAGAGTTTCCTCAAGTATGGAAAGATTGGGGACCACTGAGACAGAGGCTGTCTATGGAGCAGCAGCTGTCTATGGCTGGGGCATCCCCGAGTTCCCTTTCTTACAGATCAGCATCCAGGAGAAAGAAGCCCTCATAGAGAGTTCTAGAAAATCTGCGATGCTACAAAGAGTTTCCTCAAGTATGGAAAGATTGGGGACCACTGAGACAGAGGCTGTCTATGGAGCAGCAGATGGCTGGGGCATCCCCGAGTTCCCTTTCTTACAGATCAGCATCCAGGAGAAAGAAGCCCTCTTCTAGTGTCTGTATATCACCTCCCTCAAGGAAAAGGAGTCCTGTTGCCCCATCACTGTCCTTATTGACTTTGGTCACATGTCCACCCTGCCAAGGACAGAGACACTGTGATTGACAGTTCAACCAGACCACACTTAACAGAAAGAGGGGTACTAGATGGACAAACACAACAGATTGCAGGACCCACACATGACACCCAGAAGGTGGAGGTGGGGTCAGAGTCAAGGGGGTGCTGGAGTCAGATGAGTGAGCATGAGCCGGGCTGCCATCCACCACTGTGCCTTGGTCCTCGGCTCTCTTCCGTAAAGTGATCTCATGAGGATTGATGAGCAATGGCTGTGATCGGGCTCTGGGGGCCACAAAGCACAAAGCAGATGATGTTAAATGAGGCGTGTCCGACACTCATGTCTGGCACTTAGCAGGTTCTCAGTAGATGATGATCTTCCTCCCTGTTATTGTTACTGGAATTACAAGGGCATTAGGACGAGGTAATCAGATTGTAAGGAGTTAGAGTAAAAGTTCTTCCCTTCACCACCCTGAGTGAGGCCCCTTTCTCTGGGATGCCCCGCAGGTGTTGCATAGATAATTACTGGCCAGGAGAGGGTACTACACTAACGTCTGCCCCAATTCCGAGGGAGATGAGAGTTAATCAAATGGAAGTGCAGCCCACTTTGGGCCCCCGCAGCTGGCCTGGCACCTCAGTGACCATGCTTCCTGACCTGCGTTGCTTTTCCTGCAGTCCACCTGATCCCGGTGTCAGCAGCCAAGAATGGACTGAGCAGCAAGAGTCGAAAGAGGATCATGCCTGACCCAGCAACAGATCCCCCTGTGACAGATCCTGTTTATGAAGCTCTCTTGTACTGTAACATCCCAAGTGTGGGCGAGCGCAGCATGGAAGGTAGGTCTGCCGGGCCTCCCAGCTTGGCACCCACACTGACTCCCCTCTGGGCCCAGCTCTTCAAGCAGCATAACACAGCAGTGAGGAGTGGAACAGCCTGGGCTCAAGCCCCACAGATGCCACTAGGCTGTGCCCTTGCATGAGTTCCTGGGTCTTAGCATCTTCATTTCCAAAGTGGGAGTAGCTGGCAGCACCTACGCAAGGGATGCTGGGAGGATTAAATGCCCACTTTGAGCAGCGGGTGGCCTGTGATCCACCCTCCATGAGTGTTTGCCATGAGCATGATCTTTAGTGAGACACCAGCAAGAGGGAGGGGTGGCCTCAGCGGGGCTCGGTAGTGCCTTCAGCTACTCTGCTTTTCAGGGTAGACTCTCGGGACTTGGAATGTCCATAGGATGCCTTCCCTGCTGGTGTCTTGCCATAAAGGCATGGGAAAATACAATTTCTACATCAAATTTTGCTTTTCTGGTAGTGTACCAGAGGATGGCATTGAACATTTGTGTATCTCTTTGTGCCCTGCCTTGTTTCATGGAAGATTTAGAGCAGAAGTCCTTGTTTCCAGTATTTCTGTGGGCCTGTCTCTGTCTGTTCATGAGTGAGGCTGCATTAGTAGTCATGCCCACATTTCACTGTCTTGCAGCCCCAGCCACAACCCAGAGACTCCCTATTATTCCCTGGAAGCCTGGGACATACCCAGACCTCTCACGATCCTCTGTCCTGCCTCATAAGGCTGTTCAGCAGTTCCCACCCAGCACAGTGGCCTTTCCCACAGCCAGGTCCCCTGGACAGTGGTTCTGCAACCTCCCCCTCTAATTCCCAGCACAGGTGTGAGGTCAACCCCCACCTCCCTTCCCCCTCCTAAATGATTGACACCTATTGTAATGACGGGTGATGTGCTTCTGTCTCACAGGTCATGCCCCGCATCATTTTAAGCTGGTCTCAGTGCATGTGTTCATTCGCCATGGGGACAGGTACCCGCTGTATGCCATTCCCAAAACAAAGCGACCAGAAATTGACTGCACTCTGGTGGCCAACAGGTAAATTGCACCTTCTCTGAAAGTCTTTTCAAGAATCTGTTATCTCCTGCACAGAGAGAATTACAGGACAGGGGAGTGACCTACACCTGCTGAGCACATACTGTTTGTCAGATCTTCAGAGCAGTCCTGCGTGGTAATGCCATTGTACAGTAGAGAGACTGAGGCCCACAGAGGCAGGGTTTGAGCCCAGGTCAGGCTGAGGCCCGCTCTCTCACCCTGCTGTTCCTCAGTTTGAGAAAAAGCTTGGACACAGTGCAGTGCAGAGAGCACTGGATTAGAATCCTTCAGCACAGCTCAACTGTTCCATTCAGGGCAGCCTGCAAGTCACTTAGTCTCTCTGAGCCTCAGCCTCCTGTCTCTAAAATGGGGATGATGATCATCACTGTGCAGGACTGGGGTAAAGAATCAGTGAGGTAAGACAGGGGAATGCTCATTAGCAATCGCAAAGCCATACAAATGTAAGACATTATTTCAACCTTTTAATTTTCTTGGGAGCAGAGACAGCCTGTTCTTGGTTGAATGCCCTTAGGATGAAAGATAATTGAACAGAGAGTGGAAATTGCATGTGAGGGAATGGCATGGGCATGGTTAGGAATAAAAGGATGGGCCAGGCCTCGGCAGTGTGTCTAGGGGCACGTAACATCCCTAGCAGAGTTTACTGAACGAGGTCAGGAGACGGAGGGAAGTGCTCAGCAGGGAAGACGTTACTTTAATGGAATGCTTCTGGGGTGCCAGCTGCACCAGCAGGCCCAGCCTGGTGGAACCTGTGTCTAGGGGCACGTAACATCCCTAGCAGAGTTTACCGAACGAGGTCAGGAGACAGAGGGAAGTGCTCAGCAGGGAAGATGTTACTTTAATGGAATGCTTCTGGGGTGCCAGCTGCACCAGCAGGCCCAGCCTGGTGGAACCGTGGATTGCCCCACTACAGCCTGGGCTGTCAGGTTAACTCTTTGCATCTCAAGCCTTCTCACCATCCAGGATTGTAGGGAAGAGTAAATGACCCATTTTATGTAAAAACATCATGAAATACCATATAGGCTTTTATACATGTTTCTACTTCATGCTGGAGGTCACAGTGCAGGCAGCCTGGGTGCTGTGTCTTCTTTCCTGTATCCAGCAGGCCTGGATGCACATCCTAGTGTCTGATGGGTTGGAAACCACCGCAGGTCGGGTCCAGCCCATGTCAGAGGGCAATGCAGACACTGGCTCTTCTCCTCCTGGCTGAGACCACGCCAGCCTTTCTTTCTACTGAGACCCTCTGCCCCACAATGCTGCACTCCTGCCAGCCCCCACCATCCCTGCTTGGCCCTCTCCTAAGCTTCTTTGAGGCTCCTTGACATGCCCCCCTCCTCTAGGAAGCTTCCCTGATATGTTAGGATGGGTCGTCTGGTTGTAGCAGGCATCAATGTTGCCTAACCCACACTGAAAGGGGGATGTACAGAAAGGGTCTCAGAACAAGCAGGGAGAAGAGTCTAAATATTGAATAACCAGCCCTCTACTAGCCTCAGGGCTGGGGCAAGGTGGAGGCCACTTGTTGTGTTGGGCATTAACCCTTTAGTTTCTGGATCCTAGGGATGTGTTTTTCCACCAGGCATAGTGGGGTTTCAAAATGTTAACAACTGGTACAGTCCTGCCATTGCTCACTGGCTAGATATCAGCCCTTTGAACAGGCCAGGGAGAGGTGGACCCCTAGGCCTCTGAGATGGCCAGACCCAGGGCAGCCTCAAGGACTCTGTGGACAGTAACATGCTCCAGCCCTAGCAGCTCCCAAAATCTGCTCCCTTCTCTAGCTGGTCTTCAAATTCACAGAAGTGAGAATTTGATTGACTCAGTTCAGACCAGGTGTCTGCTCCCAAACCAGTCAGCTATTGCCAGAAGGTCCCTGGGCACCTTGAGGCCACTGAGGGCCATACTGTCTGTTCCCAGAGAAGGGGCCCCCTGGGCAGGGCCACCTGGCAGAGTGCAGTGCCTCCCCTGTGCACCCTGGCATTTTGCAGCTCGTCTTCCCTGGCATGATTCTCTCTTCCCTTCCCAAACCACAGGCTCCTCACGGGTCTTCTCCCTATGTCACCAGTGCCCAGCTCAGAGCCTGGCATAGAATAGCTGTTGGACTGGGTTGGTTGCAGAATAAATTCAGAACCTCAGTGAGATTCACAGATCCCGATTGCCTGTTACATGCTCCCATCATTGTCTTGTAATAGATTTATGGAATCCCCTGAGGCCTGTGCAGCCTGTTTGACATTGGGCAAATCACTTTCCCTCTCTGAGCCTCAGTGCTCTGTTCTGGAATGTGGGGACAATAATGCCTCCTTTATAACGTCCTTGTGAAATCTAAATAAGATGATGGAATAAAATACTTACTCTGGTCGACACCAAGAGCCTGGTAAGTGCTAACGCATCATTACCTGCAGCAGCCTGGAGCCCTTCTGGGGCCTGGCCTCTTTCCCTCTTTGCAGTAGATGTGGTCACGAGGCCAAGTCAGGCCCCAGGTCCCTCATTCTGTCACAGCAGAGGCAGGCCCTCTGATGGAGCCATTCCTGGGGCTCCCATTTGAGAGGGTCAGTGTCTGGGGACCAATTGCCCTGGATGCCTCTGCCCTCATTTTCTTTGCCTAGTTTTATTTTATTAAACATTCTATATTTTTAGGTGCTATCTTAAATCCTATGTGGAAAGAGGGTGGAGTGTTTATGTTTATTTACTTAATATCATTTAATTAGTTCCATCTTTAAAAGCATAGAAGTTGACTTGTTCTTATAAACACATACTTAGAGTAAGCATGAGCAGGAACCACAGTGAAGTGGACGTACTCTGGGCCACCAACTCCCTTGGGACTGTGGCATCTGGGTCACCAGCAGCGCCTGCTGTCTTCCCAGGTGCTATTTCAGCTTCATAAAGTAGTAATTTTGTGACTTTCTATAGGCTGGTGAGTGTAGGCCAGTGAGAGGGAGCGTGTGGGCCAGCAGGCAGGGGTGCAGTGAGCTGAGCCAGGCCAGAGCTGAATGTCCGTACAAATCAGGTGCCCCCAAATTTCCATCCACAGTAACACGTGGCTCTCAAAGTTACTGTAGTGGAAGCTGCCACTTCATGAATGCCATGTGCCTCATGTGAAAGTGCTATTTCAGCCCTCATAGTACTGCAGTTAGCCAGCATTCGGGTTATTAGACATTCATAAAATGTGTTTAGTAAATGCTGTTTAACATTCATAAGTATGAATTAAATATCCTTTTCTAAATCCAAGGAAGAAAAAATATTCCTTTCAATCAGCATTTATTCAACAAATTTTAGTTTTATGCCCCTGTCTTGTGCCAGGTACTGTCATATGTACCTGGCTTATGTACCAGGAGGTGGCCCAGGAGCGGGCACCTAAATGAAATGAAAGGAGCCAGCCCTGTGCAGACTTGGGGAAAGAGTGTTACAGATGGGGGGACCAGCAGGTGCAAAGGGCCAGGGGCTGGCAGGGCTGGGCACGGATGAGTAGCAATAAGACCGGTGCATAGCTAGGCTGGAGGCATGGGGGAAGGGTGGACATCTAAGGATTTGCAGAAGCAAGGCCATTCCTGCCCTCAGGGAGCCTGCTCCTCTGGAGAGACAGACCTGGTGCCTGGTGCGTGGTAAGCCCTCAGTGAATGGCAGCCGGCACAGGTGGCAGCAGCAGCATTAGAGAAAGAAAGGGAAGAAGAGCAAGGAGAAGTGGAAGTAGTTTGGTACCGTATGTGGGGACATGAGCCAGCAGAGGGGCAGCCTAACTCGGCATGGGGTTGGGAGGGGGAATGGGGTGCTAGATCACAGAAGGCCACCCAGAGAAATGGACCGAAAGGGTGTGCAGGAGCATGTCAGGTAGCAGCTGATGATGAAGGCCCCTTAGGCGGTGAGGCCAACCTGTGCCAAGCCAGGGTGGCGGACAGCTTGGCACGCTGGGGCCCTCGAGTTAATTTCACAGGCTAGAGTGTGGAGTGAAGAGGGGCATGGGGGCTAGGTCAGACTAGGTCATCTGATGCTTCGAGTGCCTGGCTAGGGAGTGTGGGTTCCAGGCATGAAGGTGGCGAGGGAGCTGCGGAGTGAAGGGATGACAGCCATGATGTGGAGGAGGGGCCGGAAGCTGGCGGCAGTGTTTATGTTGTTATGGGGATAGGGACCCAGAGGAGAGACTTCACTCAAGACTCCCGGCCCACATCCTTAAAATGGCCCGTATGCTCTTCCCCTGCCCCCCACCTGTCCACCCCCTCCTGTCGCTGTCCTTGCCCCCCTCGCTCCGCTTCAGCCACACGGCTCCTAGCTCTCCCTGCACTCGGCACGCTACGGCCTCAGGGCCTTTGCACCAACCGTTTCCTCTCTCCAGAAGCTCTTCCCCAGGTAGCTTTATGGCCACTTCTCTCACGTCCTTCAGCTCTTTGCTCAGATGTCACCTTCTCAATAAGACCTCCTCAGAACACTTCAGTGAAAATGACAAGCCACTCTTCCCTCCACCCGCGCCTCCCACACACCCTGTACCCTGCTCTTCTTTTTGTCGTTGCATCTGTTACTTCACACACACACACACACACACATGCACACACTCACTCACTCCCTCCCTTACACTATTCACTGCATACTGTCTGTGTCCCAGGCTAGAAGGTAAGCTCCCTGAGGGCAGGGATTTTTATTATTTTTGTTCACTGCTGCTGTATCCCAAGTGCCTAGGACGGTGCCTGGAGTATGGGAGGAGGGTGATAGGTGTTTGTTGAATGAATAAATGATGGAGGCTGGAACTCAGGGAGTGGCAGCAGAGACGGAAAGAAGGGGTGGATCTTAACAAAGGTTACAGGGTGGGATGAATAGGATTCGGTGACAGGTTGGATGGAGGTATGAGAGAGAGAGAGTGGTGCCCAGGCCTCTGACTGGGCGTCTGGCTGGCAGTAGTGCCCTCCCTGGCATAGAGGGCAGAGAGGAAGGGAGGTGTGGAGGGAGTTATGAGTACAGTTCAGTGTTGCGCCTGAGCTATCATCAAGCATTCAAGTGACAATTTCTAGTAGGCAGTAGGCCACATAGTTTGGGGGCTCAAGAGAAAAGAGGTTTATTTGAGAGTCTTCAGCAGGCAGATGGCAGCTGAAGCTGCGGGCTTGAATAGTATCACAGACGGAGAATAAAGAGTGAGGAAAGAGCCAGAAGCAGAGTCTTGGGAGATATCAACAAGCGGCAGTAGGCACAGAGAGAAGAGAGGCTCCGGGAGGAGAAATCTGCAACAGGGAAGTCAGGACAGTGATGTTATGAGAGCTGAAGCAGAAAGGCCCAGAAAACTAAAGACTGAGGAAAGTACCTTGGGCTTATCTTTTCAGAATTTCATTTTATTAATCATATAAAATAACAAATTCTTTAATTGGCCTAAATTTTAAAACTCTTTGGGGTGGATTCATTCCAGTGCCATGTAATCTTTTTGAACTGTGTTTTCTGATACCAGTGTTACTGGTCGCATGCCTCTTCTCTGCTTGCCTTAGCTTTCTGTGCAGAGCTCAGTTCTGCTATTACTCAGAGATAGCTAAAGCACAGTACATTTTCTCCTGGGCGTGCAGATTAGCCTCAGGGTTCCGTCTTTAGCTTTGTGGGTAAGTAGGTGTGAACAGTGCATATAAAAATGTAAACGGGAACTCTGAAGTGAATGACCTGAAGGCTTAAGATGGTAATACTTGTGATTCTTTCAGTTTTCAATATGATAAAAGATTTCCAATGAGACCACAATAATATGAGTTTTTCCAGAAGAAAAAGTCATCTTCACCGACACTATCATTTCTGTATGAATCACAGTCAGGCTAGGCTGTTATAACCAAGAGATTCAAGAATACATTGCTTTACATAACAAAGAAGTTTCTCTCTTCCTTGTGTGAAGGTCTGAGGTGAATGTTCCAGGTCCTGTATTTGGCTCTGCCTGGTCATTCAAGGTCCAGGTTCCTTCCAGGTTGGTGCTTCTGTCATTCCCTGGGGATGCCTGTGTGTTGAGCCTGGGTTGCTGCCATGCCTAAATATAGTGGCCAGAGGAGAGGAAGAGACTGAAGGGGCACATCCATAACCTCAAAGCCTAAACCCAGAAGTGGCACACAGCCTTCCATTCCATGGGTGAATACTGAGTCACGTGGCTCTACCTAACCTCTGGGGCCTCAGAAATGGGATCTAACCTAACCAAGTTCCCAAAAAGAGGAGGATAGATTTTAGAGTACAACAAATAGTCTTATCTACCACAGCCTTTATTTTTCATATTTCCATCAAAATGTGAATATTTTAATTAACACTATGGGAGCTTGCCATATTCGTTGCTACATATTTGTCACTTGGCATTTTCATGAAACATCTAAAGATGGGACACTTCACAGTTGAATTTATTCACACATGTTTTTGGAGCATCTACCATGTGCTGTTAAATGATGCATATATTTGTTATCTATTCTGTAATGAAATTTTTCTTTCATGAATCTTCATTTTTCCATTCCAAAAAAAAATGTTGTAATGACTACAGTTAGGTATCAAAGCATCATTAAGCAGTCAGGTGCCCTAAAAACCTAGGACATCTCAGCAGACTACTTTCAGTCGTGAAATTCTGTTTCTAAAATTGGCAGCAAAGCTTTCTCAGATCCTCAAAATTCACTAAACTGAAATAATGGCCTGGAGCAGAACATTTGACTCCTGTTGACATGTAGCCTTTGTTTATGTTGACAGATAGCCTTTGTTTATGTGGATTTGTATTGGCAGCTTCATTGTCAGTCTGGACATTTTATTTCCCAGTTTGCAAACATTTATGTGCTTTAGCCTCAGGCAAAATAGCATATCCTGTTTTTATGGAAAGACATAATTCCCTGCAGTCATCCAGGGTGATTTATTAAACCACTGCATGTCAGGATTAGTGTTCTCTAATTTTAAAACATTTTTTTAAAGATGGATTTTTTTTTAGCTCTGTGTTTTTGAAAGATAATAAACCCATTTGGCAGCCATTTTTAAGGCTTTGCCAAAGGTAATTAGGTTTTCATTCAGCAGGAGTTTGCCATTAGAACAATTTATTGCCACTTCTTCTCATGCTGATTCTTACGCAGTTTAGTTGTAAACTACTCTATCTGTTCATTTCTGTTCAGCTGCAAAGCGTATGTACATGCATAGGCCATTTCATTATTCAAAGAAAAGGTGTGTGCACACTTATGGGTCATTTCATTGTGCAGATTTGAAAATATGTGTATACTGAGGTCATTTCATTATTCAGGGAAATTGTATATTAGTGACTAGAAAGATAAATTTATCTTATCACCTGTACTTCATGGCAGGAATGTACATAATCTCAGTACAGTTACCAGTACAGATCTCATAAACATGGTTTTTTCAATGTTCATTACCACCTCACATTAAATGAGATACTGTATGTGCAAAATGCACAGTGAACTGTAAAGAAGAATAGAGATCTCAGTTATCTTACTCAGTTACAGTTTTCCTAAAGGGAGATTTTCCAGAGGTAAGAAAAATTAAGGATTACGGTTTACCTAGGTGGAGGTTGGGGTAGATTTTCTAGGAGGAAGGGACAGCATGTAGAAAGTGGTGCAAGTGTGAAAGAATGAGGTGTGTTATGTTGGGGAGAGAAAGGTGGTTGGAGACATAAGCTGCCTGAGACCAGAACCCAGGTAGGGGCAGTGAGGATAAAGGAGAGAGGGATGGAGAAGCATAGGAGAAAGGATCCGCAGGATGCGGGGGGCTGGGAGGGGGTGGTGGCATGTGTTGGGGCATGGAAGGGAGAAATCAGGACAGCTCTAGCCTAGAGTGTGACTGCTGGGTGGGTGCTGGCAGCCTTCCAGAGAGGGAGCCAAGGAGGCGACGCAGGTGGAGGGACAGGATGGTACAGAGCAAAGCTGCATTCCACAGTGCCAGGTTCAGCAGAGGTTAGGGACTCAGGTTAACCTTTATGTGTAGCTGTCAGTGGTCAGGTAATAATGACATTGTAATTTTAAAATGATTGAGCCAGTACCTATTTTGTGGGTGAAAAGGCCATGACACACTTGGGGTTTTGCTTGCTGAAGTTGGAAACTGTCTGGACTGTTCTGGAGCTTTATGACCACTAATTCTCTGTATTGTCTTTTTAGGAAACCATATCACCCCAAACTGGAAGCTTTCATTAGTCACATGTCAAAAGGATCTGGAGCCTCTTTTGAAAGCCCCTTAAATTCCCTGCCTCTTTACCCCAATCACCAACTGTGTGAGATGGGAGAGCTCACGCAGACAGGTATGTGTGACAGCATTCCCTCAATAATCCATTTGCATACACTGGGAGTGAATACTCCTGGGTAAGGCACTGTGGGGCGTGCAGGGGTAAATAAGGACTGGCAACTCATATTAGGTGACAGAGTGGGGCAAGGTGCAGGCTCTGGAGGACTAGCCTTGGATAAGGAGTTGTGAAAGCCTTTGGGGCAGTTAATCCCACACGCCTGGGCTCTGTGTTAGTTTAGAACAGGGGTTCTTGTCCTACCAGATCCAACACTCCTTTTATTAACAAGTATTTTGCAATCTTCCTCAACTATCCTGAAGTGAAATTTAAATACAATGTAAGCTTTTTATATATTTAATTTTAGAAAAGTTGTATCAGGGGCCCTAAGTAAAATAAAAGGAAACTAATTTATTATATAATTCTGTATATCTCGATATACAGCTACACCAGAAAATAACTTTCTGCTCAATTTCTCTGTAAACCCAAAACTGCTGTAAAAATAAAGTTTGTAACTTAAGAGAAAAAACAGAAAGAAAATAGAATGAGGTAATCAAATGCTTGTACCTAAGTGTGGATTGGTGACTACAACAGCTACAGATGCTGATGACCGAGGAATGTTGTACTGCTGACTGTAATACCACATGTCAGGACATGGTTTTTCTGACAAGTTCTGATCAAAACAAAGTAGAGATGTACCTTAATTTATATTGCATTCTGGGAAATTCAGTGGATGTTAACATTATGCAAAAATGGTTTTGTGTTTATAGACACAAAAAAGCAGAGTTAAGTTCTATAGGCTATAGTATTCAAACAAGTTTTTCACATGTGGGAAGGTCTTGTGGTACATTCCAAAGTCATGCAGGAGAGAGAATAGTTGTCCCTTGTGGTGATTGTCTAGCCCCTAGCCCTCACCCACTAGGTGCCAAGAACACCCCTCCCCATGTTATTGTGATAACCCAACCCCCAAGCCCCTCCTGAGGGCAATACTGCTCTTGCTGAGAACCACTGGGTAGACTCTCTAGTTACCAGTAACAGAAACCAGCTCAAGTGAAAAAGGGAAATTCATTATAAGGATTCAAGGGTGATTCACAGACTCCAAGGTCAAGAATGTGACCAGTCCTCCAGAGACTGGAACCAGGAATAAAAAAGCTGCCTTGTGCCTGCCTCTCTCTATGGTTTTTTGCTGTGTCTGTCAACAGAGTGGCAGTCCTGGCCACACCCAGAGATGAACTTGCAAGTCCAGATTCTTGAGATGGAGAATTCATTGTGGTTCTTGTGTCCATCATCTCTGGCTAAGGGGTCAGGTTGACTATGCAGACAGCATTGGGGGTTGGGGGAGCAGCCTCTGGATCCAAAGGCTGTTCCCTGAGAAGAGGTGGGGGTAGGGTGACCCTCACATACTTAAAGATAATCATTCGTTCACACCTTTCTTCTTGTATTAGTTTTCTGTTGCTTATAACAAAATACCTGAAACTGGGTAATTTATAAATAAATGAAATTTCTCACAGTTTTGGAGGCTGGGAAGTCCAAGGTCCAGGGGGTACATCTGGTGAGGGCCTTCTTCTTGGTGGTGGGGACTCTCTGCAGAGTCCCGTGGTGACGAAGGCAATCACATGGCAAGAAAATAGCAAGAGCGCTTGTCAATGTGCTCACTTGCTCTCCTTGTAAAGCCATCAGTGCCCGTCCTGGGACTAAACCATTAACCTGTTACTCCATGAATGGATCAATCTATTCGTGAGGGCATGGTCCTCATGATCCAGTCACCCCTTAAAAGCCCCACCTTGGGCCGGCCCGGTGGCGCACTGGATAAGTGCGCCGCTTGGGAAGCGCGGCGGCGCTCCCGCCTGAGGGTTTGGATCCCACATACAGACCGGTTCCCACTCACTGGCTGAGTGAGGCGCGGGAGCGGCACCAAGGGTTGCGATCCCGTTGCCGGTCCCCGGTCCAGTGCGGGGGCAACACTGAGGGTTGCGATCCGTTGCCGGACACAGAAAAAGACAAAAGACAAAAAAAAAAAAAAAAAAAAAAAAAAACCCCCA